CGTTTTTGCTTTAACTAACGAACTAAAGATAGACTTGTTCATTCAATTATAGAAAGTGTCAGCAAGTGAGTTCTCATTTAGTTGGATCAGAGGTAATGGTTTGAAGCCATCGGTCATCTTGTTTATTGAGACAATGAAGAAGCACTTGCTGCTAGTGATATATTATTGAGACAAAGAAGCACTAATTTTTGTACTGGTGTGTATTGTGTTCATGCTATAGCATCATGGCCATAAATCATGTGTTTACTGTGGATGGCAGCTATAGATTTTTTTGTTCATTATCGTGTTTTGATCTTATGGGCAATTCAGCTAGTTCGTGTCTCTTCCTTCTATAACCAAGCTACCTCTTCTTCAATTTGGCTAAACCGAGTGTTTAATTTATTACTTTGGTCAGTGTGATTGTGAATATAGGCACCAAACTGTTGGTATCATGTACTATATCCATACTCTGAATACATGGTCTGAATATCTGCAGAGACTGCAGGTGTGCTGAACGTGGATGTAGATGGCGCTTTTTCCTTCTTCCAGGAAACGAAGTGAAACATGGTGGCTATGGCTTTGCTCTATTATAGTGCATGGATTCTCAAGGCCCTGTTAGGTGATGATGCCTTGAAGCTTCAGTGATAATAATGGCTTGACAGTGGCACAGGTTCTATTCAGGGAAGCTCCTACTTTTCTCTTTTTTGAATTATGCAAGGTGAGTAATCCTCCTAGTATTGTACTATTGATATGAATAAACTAGCATCTGGTACTTTAATCGTTTTTTGCATTTTGCTGGATCTTTACTTGGATGCAAACAGTTTGTACGAGTCACACATGCATGTAAACCGTATGCATTATGGAAATTTTGTACTCTGAACTCTGAATTTGGATCAGAGCTGAACGTTAACTCTGAATCTTTCAGACCCCATGTGAACTCTGAAATTTATTATACCCAATTCTAGTGTAAAGCTATAATAAGCAGTTAAAAATCTTTCAGGAGCCAAGTTAGCTTGAATCAGAGCAGAAAGTTAACAGCAATGCTGCCAGATGCTAACAGGCAAAACTTTTTATGTACGATTCACTTCAGACTCTTCAGAGCCACAACTATTATACTGAGAAGAGTATCAACATTTTCTATTATCACAGCAGCATCGGTATGACAAGAGTTCTTATGTTTTCAGAACGTTGGGACTGGGCTTAGCTAGTTATGATCAGAAATCACTTTCTTATCTTAAATACATCAGTGAAATGCATATTTTCATAGAGGTTCACCAAAAGCGAAATGTCATTTTTATAGTATCACTGTCAGCAGATAAAACTGTTTTACCTTGAAGTGCATAGTCTATGTTTAGTATCTAAAAAATGTATTGAAGGCATGTGATGAAATCCAAGTGCAAATGCTAGCTGATTTGCAGCATTCTTATTTTCTGGAATCTATTTCTCCAACATTTAATGCCTATTCATTTAGAGTAGATAAATAAGCTTCACAAGTGAACTTACTGCATGAAGGCAATCTGGTGACAGTTGATAATAAAATACAGCTCCTGAATTAATCCCAAAAATCTATATGGAGCAGAGATAAAAACTCACAGAAGAGGCCATGATGAGCAATTGACGCGGTGAGGATCAGGAGAATGAGAAGAGCAGCAACTGGGGGGATGATCAAAGAGGAGAGCCCAATGATCGCGCTACTCCAGAGCAAACTCTGTAAGGTTGTTTACCAACTGAAGTTTACACAAAGAGGCGAGCCTAATGTTGAGAGATTCAGGGGATTGAACATGACTATAAGTTGATGAGACTAAATAAACAGGGGACGCGTTGGATTTGAACATGACAGGTATGGTGCCACGTACGGGGATTCAGTCAACTAAATATTCAGAGAGAAGAGCAGCACAAGATATTCCAAAATACAGCCACATCAAGTGCCTGACAGACAACATGTTCATTTTTCGTGCTATACTGCAAAAGCTATTTCTCAGTGTCAATTATTCTCTAAGATTAATGATTTTGGACATAGTTAAGGCACCATTAGAAAATAGCCATGGTGAAGACACAGAGTTTGGTTAACCTGTATGATTCTTCGGGTTTGCTTGGTATTTTTATGTCTAATGTTGTAAATCGACGGCGCATCCTTCCTTGTAGGAGAAGATTTGCTGAGATAGACGGGATGTAGAAGATTCATGGTGCTTTCTTCGTCTTGTCCCAGGAAATCGGCGAGGCATGGCAGCTGGGCCTTTGCTATGCTCACTAAGCGTGATTCTGATGCCCTGAAGCGACAAGTATGGCCTGACATTGGTGGGGGCTTTGTTCAGAGAAGAAGCTCCTTCTGGGGCTTTGCGTTGCGGGATTCCATGATCAGCTCAGCTCTGAACAAACAACAAGTTGAGCGAACAATCAATTCGACGTGGTATGATTGTTCTACTCAAAACTCTGAATTTAAACCAGAGCCGAAAAGTTAGCTCTGAGACTCTGAAACTTTCAGACTTGATGGGTGAGCTCTGAAACTTATTACACCCAAGGCAATTGTGATTGATGCTATCTATAGTAAGCGTTTATTTTTAACATGCATAATGCCCTCAGACATCCATGTCATCATTTGTTTTTGTTGGTGTTTTTTTTCCTAAAAAGAAATGGAGCTCCGGCTGCGCATTTGTGCTTCCGTCCGTCTGCGTATGGTGGGGTCGATCCTCCTGATGGAGGTCTATGTTTGCAAAAACCTAAAACAACGTAACCAACTATTGTTGTGCATTCCAAAAAAAAAAAACATAGCTTGCACCAAAAATATAAAATGTGAGCTCCCTCATAATCAAAATTTCTATTAAAAAAAGGGTCACCTATAAATCATGAGACTCTCTCGAGTCTTCTCACCTAAAAAAGGTCACCTATGAAATGTGAGTTCCCTCATAATCACCTATAATCTCCAATACAACGGACCACAAGCTTTGCATAGCACCATAAAATCATGCTAATCTGATATTGCCCGATTCATTAAAAAGCTAGATTAGAGTTGTTTGGCTAATTAATGGAAACCCGGACGAAAACTGTTACCAACACGCCCACAAGAAAGGGCACCTCGGCTGACCTGGCACCTACAAGACCACACACACCGCTGAAAAGAGGACACCGTCGAAGTTGCCTGCAATGTCATCATCATCACCTCTCCCTAAGTCGGCGACTCCGACTCCGCCGCTAACAACCTATCAAGACCCCATCAAACGAACGACACACGAGGACCTCATTGGCCATAGCCAAACAATCGACCGCAGACGTCGAGGACCGACAGCTCCGATTTTGTTGATAGGCTTCACTGCTTCGCCAGCCTCGTGTCGACCTAGCCCAGCGCAAACCTCCGAAGAGCACCGTCCGCGAAAACCATCCCTCATGGAGTCATTGTTGCTGCACGGGCCCCATCGCACGCAGCTCCGACTTCCCTGTCACAGTGAGAAACAAGCATAGGCTCACTCGTCGGCGAATCAAACTGTCAACATCAGAAGGACAAGCCGCGACCCAGCTCCACATGTCACCATCATCATCGTCGCACGAGTCGCAATGCCAACCACTTGCATCACCGGTTGGGCGCCTGCCAACCATGACGCAGTGCACGTCCAGCCCAAAGGAGCGGGAAGAAGGATCGCCGACCTTCAAAGCAACGCCCCAAAGGGAGAAACGTTGTAGGGACGACGCTGTTGCCCGACCCGAACGGGTCTAGGCTTTTGCCCGAAGAACCAGATCCGAGAATGGAGCGGGTCAAAGAAACTCCACAACGACGCCCTCATGAAGAAGAATGACGCCCGTAGGCGCCGCCATCGCCGGCTGGCTCTTGCCGGTCAAGCTTTCGCTCGGAACAAACTTGACAAACACCCTCACGTCGGCGGTCGAAGCCGGCTACACTCGCTGACCCGTCCACCTCCAGTGTGGCGATGACACCAACGCCGCGCAGGAGCCACCTCCTCACCACCAGCAGACGTTGGCGAGCCGAAAACGACTGAGACCGGCCAGATCCGACATCCCGCTGCTACAACACCACAACAGCAGCAAGCACAGCTGCAGGCCTGCACCCGCAGGAAGGGGGCTGCCACCCCGCCCCGCCACACCGGGAAGGAGCTCAGGGCGGATCCCCGGAGCTTGCCGGACGCCAGCCGCGCGTGGAGAAACTTCAGGGGCGGGAAGGGGAGGGATGCCATCCCCACCCGACTCGCTAGCGGGAGATTCAGGCCGCAACCCAGGATCCCGATGACGACGCCACCCGCCGAATCTACCAGGCTGCCATGACGAGCGGGAGCGAGCCTCCCTCCACTAGAGAACGCCTCGCAGAACGGGGGGAACCCCGCCGTCGCCGTTCGCCGGGCGGACTTACTCCGGCGGCTCCATCCGGCAACGCCGAGGAGAGGTAGGGGTTGGCGGCGAAGACTGGCCTCAGCAGATCTAGATTCCTCTCAGTGACTATAGTAGTTAATCTTCATGCATTTTTTCATGGTTGATGACAATACATGTTTCAATAAAATAAAAGTTGTTCATTTTGGGACTTGCACACAAAAAAGGTTTTCTCCTCACGCTCTAACGCATATACTAGTCCATTTTTATATGGCCGCATGAGACTGACGAGTGGGGGCCACTTGTTTGGGCTGGGTTGAACCAGACCAGACCACCAACGGAATTCTATCGAGCTTTCCCCGTTCCATCGCCGCCGCCGCCGCCGCCGCCGCCGCCGCGCTTGCCATCTCCACCATCCACCGTGCCGCCATGCTCCGTCTCCGTCGCAGCCTCTTCTCCCAGATCCTCTCGTCTCCCTCCGCCTCTCCCATCTCCCACCTCCGCCGCCTCTTCTCCGCCGCCGCGCCCGCCGTTCCCCCCAACCCTAGTAGCTTCTCCGTGGAGGACTACCTCGTCGTCACATGCGGCCTCACCCCAGCGCAGGCCCGCAAGGCCTCCCCAAGGATCTCCCACCTCAAATCCCCCACCAATCCCGACGCCGTCCTCGCCTTCCTCGCCGGCCTCGGCCTCTCCGGCGCCGACATCGCCGCCCTCGTCGCCAAGGACCCGCTGTTCCTCTGTGCCAAAGTGGAGAAAACCCTATCCCCCGTCGTCGTTGGGCTCACCGGCCTCGGCCTCTCGCGGTCTCAAATCGCGCGCCTCGTCTCTCTCCCCGGAGTCACTTTCCGCTGTAAATCCATCATCGCCGGGCTGGAGTACTGCTTGGCCCTCTTCGGCTCCTCTGACAACCTCCTTCGAGCCCTCAAGGGTGGCTCCGTTCTCTGCTCCGACCTCGACCGGGTGGTCAAGCCCAATGTCGCCTTCCTGCGCGAGTGCGGGCTAGGTGCTTGTGATATTGCCAGGCTCTGCATACCTACGCCATCGCTGCTCAGCATCAGCCCGGAACGCATCCGGACAGCAGTGGCGTGCGTCGAAGGTCTTGGTGTACCCTGTGGATCTCGGATGTTCAAGCATGCGCTACAAGCTGTTGCATTCCTCAGCGAGGACAAAATCACCACCAAAGTGGAGCACTTGAAGAAAACTTTCAGGTGGTCGGATGCCGAGGTGGGCATTGCTGTTTCTAAGGCTCCAAAGCTGCTGACGATGTCCATCGAATCGCTGCAGCGCAGGTCCGAGTTCCTCATCTCCGAGGTGGGGTTGGAAATGACATACATTGTTTATCGTCCAGCAATGCTCATGTACAGCTTGGAGGGCAGGCTCAGACCCCGATACTACGTTGTAAAGTTTCTCAAGGAAAATGGATTGCTAAGTCGCAATCGGGATTATTATTCTGCAGTCAAGATAACCGAGAAGGAATTTGTGGAGAAGTTCATATGCCCTCACAAGGATGCTGCACCGCACCTCGCTGATGACTATGGAGCAGCTTGCAGAGGAGAGGTTCCAGCTAGATTCAGTTTCACATGAACCAAGACTAATAAGAAAATTGGTATGTTCATTATGTCATTCAGTAGAGAAGAAAGCATTGCACTGCTATGAACTCGTCCTTCCTCGTGTTGCCATATTGCACACATCTTGGAACTAGGAGAGTATGAGATCAGGGCATTCTGCCAATTTCTTTGAAGTATCAATGAGTAGTATTTCTGCACACTCTGTATCTTTGTGTTCTAAAATGGCCATTGCAGTTTTCAATGCAATCCTCCATCTGCCTTTCATGAAAGAATGTTCTTATTTTGGCCATGAAGATGACATGAAGTCTCGAAATTCCTGGGAGTAGTGTTTTTGTTTCTGACTAGTAGTTTGTATCAGCTTTCGTTTATTTATCTCTTGTAGTTTTGGATGGCCTTCTAAGTGATACTTTTCTACGGGAATCTAATCTCGAAACTGAATAGTTGAGTAGTAGGCTAGTTGCATTTTTGTTGAAAGCCTACTTGTATATCACTATGTAAACAGAAATTTCTAATCCCCTGGTATTTGTACTGGAGAAGCAAATTGATGCTTGTATTGCATAGTGCTGAAAAACAGAGGACATACTTAAGTTATGGTAACCTTAAAAAGGGTTATGGCATTACCATGTAAATTTCTGCTATCTCTTTTAGCTAATTTTATTATTCCATAATCTCACTATCTATATTGACCGCGAGGGCACATTTATCCCTTAGCATATTTGTTTAGTGTAGTATAGTGGGTCTTGTGTACCGTCTTTTTTGCAAATTTCTATCTTGAGAGTCAGAGTAGGAAAAAGGAAAAGGCCGGATGGGACCATGTAGTCTGGAATCTTGCAGAATTTCAAATATAGGAATTACTATGTACCTCAGTCTACGAACCAACCTGTGAGGATGGTGCACATTTGTTTGTCCCTGATGTGAGGCTGTGGAAGTTGGAAGAAATGTGATCTCTGGTGTGTGCGTGCAGTAAGGCAAAGGAGTGGCCCATGCTATACTGGCCAAGAGATGTGATTTGAAGATCAGCTAGCTGTGTGTCCCTTCTGTGATGCTTGTTGAAATTATAGAAACAAGATGAATGAAATGCAGGCGAGGGGAACAGGTTGATCAATGAAGCAACTTACCACCAGGTGAGAAGACGTGGAGGTTTCCTCAAGCAAAGAGTGGCTGCGCAACAGGAGCATACTGATTTACTGAATGTGGATGGTGCTTTCTTTCTTCCAGGTGAAATGTGCTGAAAGTGGATATTGATGGTGTTTTTTTCTTCTTCCAGGAAATGCGACAAAACATGGCGGCTATAGCTTTGCTCTATTATACTATTCTGTAGGCCCTGCTGGGTGATGATGCCTTGAAGCTTCAGTGACAAGTATGGCCTGACGGTGGCACGAGTTCTGTTAAGGGAAGCTCCTATTTTTCTCTTTTTTGAATTTTGCAAGTTAAGTAATCCTTTTAGTATTGTACTATTGATGTGAATAAACAAGCATATGGTAGTTTAATCATTTTTTGCATCTTGTTGGATCTTCACTTGGGTGTGAACAGTTTGTATGAATTCTGAACTCTGAATTTGAATCAGAGCTGAGCATTAACTCTGAATCTTTCAGACTCCATGTGCGAACTCTGAATCATATTATAACCTATTCAAGCGTGAAGCTATAGTAAGCACTTAGAAATCTTTCAGGAGCCTAGGTTTAACTCGAACCAGAGCAGAAAGTTAACAGCAATCTTACAACAAAGTTTGTAAACTGTGCGCCCCCGCACAGAACAACATATTCTATATTTGGTTGCCAGAAGCTAAAAGGGTAAACTTCTATGTATGATCTCTTCAACCTTTTCCATCATTACAGCAGCATCTGTATGACAAAGAGTTCTTATGTTTTCAGAATATTGGGACTGGGCTTTCCTAATTATGATGAGAAATCACTTTCTTATCCTAAATACATCAGTGATTAGAGGATTTTGATTCTCCTTCCGTTTTCATAAATGTCCAATTTAGTCTATTAAAATAGTTATATTTTCATAAAAGTTCACCAAAAGCGAAATGTCATTTTTATTAGTTTCACTGTCAGCGGATAGAACTGTTTTACCTTCAAGTGTAAAGCGTACGTTTAGTATCTAAAAAATGTATTGAAGGCATGTGATGAAATCCAAGTGCAAAGGCTAGCTGATTTGGATCATTCTTATTTTGTGGAATCTATTTGTCCAACATTTATGCATATTTATTTACAGTAGATAAATAAACTTCACTACTGAACTTACTGCATGAAGGAAATGTGCTGACAGTTACAGCTCCTGAATTAATCCTGAAAAACTCACGCAAGAGGCCATGATGAGCAATCGACGCGACGGGGACCAGGAGAAGGAGAAGAGCAGCAACCAACTCGGTAAGGTTGTTTACCAACTGAATTTTACACAAAGAGGAGAGCCTTATAATCAGAGACTTATTCAGGGGATTGGACATGACTATAAATCGACGAGTCTAAATAAACACGGGCTGGGTTTGAACATGGACAGGTATGGTGCCACGTACGGGGATTCAGTTCAACTCAATAATCGGAGAGAAGAGCAGCACAAGATAGCCCAAACTACAGCCACATCAAGCGCTCCTAGGTAGGTCCTGAGATGCAGCAGGGAATGTACCTAGCTACAGATCGTCGAAACAACACGGCCAATAAGTGTGGGAGATTGCTTAAAAGGCAGGGAGGTAAGACATGACCACTGGAGGTGCTTGTCTTTATCTGATCCACCCAAATTCAAGGTTTTCAGTTTACTGAATGTAGGTGGTGCTTTGTTTCATTCTTCCAGGAGTAGGAGGTTGCTTGTTCCAGGAGGAGACGAAGCATGGCACCGGCTGGGGCTTTTATCTAGTGTTTGCCAACTGAATATCTGTTCACATTGCTCCCTCTCCGATCTCCTCTAGATCATGCCTCGGTCCGTCCGCTTGCTTTTCTGAGAAGACATGCCCTTGGAACACCGTCAGCTGGGCGAAGTTATATCCGTCAGTCTGTACCCCAGAAAATTCCCTCAAAAGAAAAGGTCTGTACCCCATAAAACTAATCTTGGCTGCTTCAAAATATGTAGAAACATGTTTGTTTGAGCATACTGTCTGTAATCCAGATTGTGACCAAATATTAACCAGCATACCACTATGAGTTGCAATATTAAGAATTATTCGCTGCTCAAGGTACCCGACCACACAAGACAACATCATAGTACGAACGCAAGAGTGATAAACATTTTTTTCCCCAGAGTTGGAGGAGAGAAAATAAATAGAGAAGGAAGAACAGACTAAACCAAGCCAAAGGATCACCGCTTCTTTGCCACATGCAGTATAACAGAGAGGAACAAAGGGAAAATGTTGGCTGGAGTTATCATCACAACATAATCATCTCAAATTTAGTCCACTTCATCACTAAAAAGATGATCTACATGGTGAAGACACGGAGCTTGGTTACCCTGTATGATTTCTCTGTTCTGCTTGGTCTTTTCATGTCATACTATGGTGGATATATTAGACATATCTTGTCCAGTGACATGTTATTCTTTCAACTACGTCGAATCAATGCCCTCTTTATACTTGATTGATGAAGTGACTTACCAGGAGGCGAGAAGACCGGGGAGCTTTTCCTTGAGTGAAGTGTCAGGGAAATAAACAACATCTTTTTTTTTTGCAGGTGAAACAAGAACATATCGACTGGTTTACCGAATGTTGTAGGAGAAGATGTGCTGAGACGGGATGTAGAAGATTCATGGTGCTTTCTTCTTGTTCCAGGAGATCGCGAAGCATGGCAGATGGGGCTTTGCTATGCCCGCTGCCCTGAAGCAGCTTAAGCGACAAGTATGACCTGATGTGACTGAAGCAGAGTTCTATTAAGACAAGAAGCTCCTTGTATATTGTGCCGCATTGCCCGATTCCAGAGTCAGCTCAGCTGAGTGAGGCGGCCTGAACAAACAACAAGTTGAGCGAACAATCAATTCGACGTGGTATGATTTTTCTACTCTGATCCCGAATATAAACCAGAGCCGAAAGGTTAGCTCTTAGACTCTGAAATTTTCGGGCTTGATGGTTGAGGTCTGAAATTTATTACACCCAAGGCAATTGTGATTGCTGCTATCTACTATCGGAAAAAGTCCAAAACAGACCTTGAAGTTGTCGAGGAAAGCTAAACCAAACCCTGAACTTTGAATCCTGGAAATTGGCACTATGAACTTGTAATCCCGGTCTATTTTAAACCCTAGACCTGTTTGGCACACTGGGAATAAGAAAATCCTGGCCGGGATAACCCACTACTCGGAATTTGGGCCGGCCCACTATAACACAACAAGGAATCGTAAACTTTAAAATATATTTGCGCATTTCTAATTTTTTCAGAAGTTAAAAAATATTCCTGTTTTCTATTTATCACACAAATGGAATTCCATTTGTGTTTTTAATTTTTTTCTGGAATTTTAAAATTCTATTCGCATTTTTTAAAACTGTGCTATTTCAAAAACAATTCTAAAAAATGTTCAGAATTTCAACAGTTTTTCACATGCTATGAAAATGTTTCGGATTTTCAAAAATTGTGTTCATTTTATAAATAATGTTTTTAGAATTTTGTAAATAATGTTTTTAGAAAATGTTTTGTATCGTTGCCGAAGGACTCGTCTGGGCCGGCCAACCAGACATGAAGCGAGCTTTTCTTTTCTGGAAGCTCAACAAATTTTTGAAGTGCAAACACTTTTTGAAACATAAACGTTTTCTGAAGCCTGAACATAATTCTAAAGGGTGAATGCTTTTTGAAAATTTAAAAAATAGGAACAAATTTCAAAATCTGAACAAATTGTAATAAAATATTTTGTGACATCTAAAAAATGTTGCGAGTTTAAAAAAATGTACTGGTCAATTCAAACAAGTGTTTATACAATGTATAATAATATTTCGGTGATTCAAAAAAATGTTTCGTA